GAATAAAATAACAATTGATAGAAAAGGGAGCAAAATGACAGAATTACAATCTATAGGGAAAGCAGAGCGAGATTTAGCACTCCTCAAAGAACTTTGGAAGTCCAGTTTGAAATAACAGTTCTTTTTACAAGGTATATTTCTAAAACATATCAACAAGAACAATCTCGGTTGATTAGGATACATGTTTATAGCGATAAGGATAAAATTTTAGCACAATATTGAAAAAAATACATTATTGAAGATATCAGACTGGGAACCAAAACTTGGAGAATATGTAGTAATGGCAAAATTAACAGCATATATTCACAACAGATGTTTAACCAAATGGCTTCCATACATAGTTCCATACATATATATTATCCAACAAAGCAAATATAAGTACTAGAGTACTGTATAGTTTTTAAGGGAAAAAAAGAGCTGACAAATGCTTCACAGACACAAAAAACATTTTTAATGTGTAAATAATATATATCAAAATATGACAAAGGAGAAGTTAGAAAGTCATATTTATAATATGTTTTAGTAGTTTGTTATTTTCTCTGTATTTTCCAACAACAAATAATGGAGATTATGGCAGCTTGGTCAAAGATTTAAATTCTTACATTGCTAAAATAATTCAATGTACTTAAATATAATTTAATGTTTTATGGTTAATTTCTAATCAGCAATATACTGAGCACTAACTGAGCAATCTTGGTAATTCTTTTGTCCATATATATATATATATATTATATTTCTGTACTATACTTCTTTTCTCCTTTTGCTTCCTTGTTCATTTGCTTTCTTTTCTTTTAAAGATGATTAAGAAATAAGTAGGTAGGTAAGATGATAGGTAGATAGGTAGGTAGGTAGGTAGGTAGGTAGATAGGTAGATAGGTAGATAGATAGATAGATAGATAGATAGATAGATAGATAGATAGATAGATAGATAGATAGATAGATAGATAGATAGATAGATAGATAGATAGATAGATAGATAGAGAACCTAATGATTTGGTGCAGTGATTCTGGAACAAAGTGCACAGAATATATAATGTGGCTCACTAATAATGATCTAAAAGAACTGTACGGGCTTTATTTAAGAAGCCTGTAGCCTACAGTAGGAAATTATATGCAGAAAGACAATGATCTGATTTGTGAATAAAATTAAGTGTAGCATGGTTTATAAAACCCAGCCATTGTGATTTAGCATTATGTGAATCCCAGCTCTCAATGGACGGCAGCAGAAGATGGACCCAGAACATGGAGATGTACATGAGTGATCTTGTAGTTGGCAATATTTAAATCAATTCATTCTGTTTCTCCAATATGTTGGAAATGCTGCCATTCACTTTGGGTATACAAAGTCAGCAAGTCGTAATTAGTCATCCTTAGCATGGAATAATATTTCCAGGCACTTTTATAAAGAAAATATATAAAAATCTTTAAATCCCATTGATCATCTAAGCCACATATATTGTGATTATACACCCTCTAATCTCAATTTAATCCTCATGCTTTCAAGAAACACCTATGACTAACTGTGGAGCATTCAACAGTTCTAACAGGGACTGAAATCATAGTTCATATAATAGAGGCAAAATCTTCAATTATCAAATAGGTTTTTCTTTTCCTTGGCAAGAAAACTGGTGAAGTGATCAGGTGAGAGCATAACTATGTATTGATTTTATCATACCATCTACATGGTACCATCTACCATTCTACTTTTTGGGGATCTCACTGTTTAAATCCTAATTACTATCCCTCATTGGACAAATATTTTGCATATAATGGGGTACCTTACAAGAAAAATGAACTCCCATCTCCAAATGCACTCTTGAACTTTTCAAAAACTTAACATGCAATGCTCAGTAGGAATCAATTCATGGTGGGTGGAGGTTCATAACTTGATTAGTAACAGAATGTTAGGGTAATGTCTGAATTTAGAACTTCCTAAACATAGTAGGTAGTACTTACACATTATATCCATTGGTTTGCTGAGTCTTGCCAACATAGCAGGATTTGGAGCTGGATATAACTTGGAGCTGGATATAATTTGGCATAAAGAGATTCTGCAGTCCTGAAGTCAAGTGTTGAAGGAAAGATAAAACTTGAATAAATATCAATATTTTGATAGGATAGTTAAAGGTTACTTTCAGCAACATGTTACTATCTTACAGTATTAATAGATGTAAAACTATATGGTCACGGTCACGCATACCCACACACTTAAGTATGCTTAGTGTACATCTAACACTCTAGTCACACTCAGAGATTTAGAATTATACCTAATACAAAATATTTACCCCACTCAGATTCAAAGCAGATGGTTTAAGAAATTCCTGCCGTATTTTGTTATGGTTCAATTTCCTAGAGCAAAGAAAGAAAGAGGTGGCTAGAGAGGATTACTAACTGCTTTTTCTAACTTAATTGAGTACTGACTTATTGGGCAATTAAAAATAAGAATCTTTTGGAAACAAGGAAGCCTACAATGGTGAAATGCATGCCATTAATTGTTAGTTTTTAACATAACGGTTTCCAGATTTGAATCAGCCAAGCAGAAAGATCATGCAAGCTCAAAATAATCTGACTGTGACCTTTAAAGTTCTTCATGGCTTGGAACCGAGTTATTTGTGGGACCAGCCTTCCCCAGTGGTGTCTACCCTTCCTATTAGATCCCTAGGTACAGTTGGGTAAGGAGTGTTGGCTAGTGGGGCCCAGAAGGAACCTCTTTTTTTGCCACGATGCCCACCTTGTGGAATGTCATCCCCTCTGAGATTAGATTGGCTTTTCCCTGCTGGATTTCCAAAGGCCTTGAAAACTTGGTTTTGTACCTGTGTCTTGGGTCCTGGGTGGGTAATGGAATCCATCTACAGTACTGGCTAAGTTGATAGTTGTTTGAATGATGCCTGGCTGCTATGTGTTTTATTTTATTTTTTACATTATATATTTTATCTATTTTATTGTAAGCTGCCTAGAGTCAAATATGCGAGATGGATGGCTGTATAAATTGAACGAATGAATGAATATCTAAACTTTCTTGAAACTGGTATGCTAGAAAGAGAAATAGCTGTATAAGTAATCTAGACACATTTTTCTTCCTTTGAAATTGATTTCTTATAGTTGATATTTCTGGTGGACGAACATGACATAATAAAAGATTTGATCTGTTCTGCATATATATAATATATCCACCTTTGTGATACTATTAAAGACAGAACTCTCAACTAAGCAGCCTGCAGCCTAGTAATCTCCAGATGTATTGCTCTTGCAGACAGTAATCCATGCTCAAGCAATGTTCAGGATTTTCTCTTCAGGCTTAGATGTTGTGTTTCCTCCTGGAGATCTTTGGCTCTTTTAGAAGACTTTAGCGATGGGGTGGAAGGATGACAGTACTCCCAAGAGCAAACTAATGCTTTTGAAGCATTCGTTTATCTTTGATTATTTTGGTTTTGTTATATTTTTAAAACTTACAGGAGCTGTAAGACATTCAGTTTTCAATCACACAGCTTACACACACACACACACACACACACACACACACACACCTTTTGAAGGCTGTCATGAATTTACACTTAGCTCAGAATACAGCTGCAGGTCCAGATGGGAAGTTGGTGCTGCATTTTAGGGACTATACTGAGGTATATTAATTGTTAAATTACTGAATGGGCTTCATATTTCAAAGCACAGATGTTGGGTGTCATGTTCTAGAGAGGCTCATCTGAGGAGTTACTATTATCTTTTGAAACCAGGTGTTTTTATTTCCCCACGATTACTTGACTTTGCATTGATTTTATGAAGGATTCCACATAAATGACTTTAAATAAGTGCAGAAATACACAAAGGTTGCATACTATTTGTATATCAGGAAATTTTGAAAAGCAATCTGGTAGTAATTTTAAATAGCTACCTGACCTGCTGTTTAAAGATATGGTTGAACAATACTACCAATCATACTATTCCCATCTTGTCTGGGCTCTCTATAATGTTATATTTGATAGTAATAGATAAAATGGTAAGTGAAATGGCTTTTATGATAGGTCTGATAGGTGTCATTTTAGCAGCTCTTACATCAGATGTGATTTGTAGCAGGAGGGTAGAAATTCGGGATATGCTATACGAATTTAATGTCATTTTATTTGGAGACTTTAGCTACAGAATACCAAATATCAAATGGAGTGGGCAAAATGCAAGTAGGGGGCTTTAAATCCTTTACCTGCCAAAACATATAGATTGGCATTGATGTAGCATCTGAGAAGAAAATATTTTATCTCCTTTATTTGTGCGTTCTTGATCTATACGGCTCACCTCTGGTTCTAAAGAGAGGTACAAGAAGCTCTGATTCCAAATTTTAAATATAAAAAAAGTATTAAAAATGACCTTAGAAACTAGGGTTTCTATAAGGATTTACAGGGAGAGTTCGCTTAAGTTCGGAATCAGCTTTGTGGTTGCCATTGGCCTAGCTTTTCTAAAACAATATATGAGCAAAATTTACTTCATCATAAGTCTCAGTATCATTGTTCAGGACGTGTTTTTGGCCTCTGTTAATTTGAAGCTAGTCCTTTGAGGGGATGGATGGGTTGATTTGTTTTCTTTTTTCCTCAGCATGGAGAACTGAGATCTCTAAACTAGGCCTTGTGCTTGTTCCCAAAGGACAATGTGGGTTTTATCTGTAATAAAATACTAAATCTGAGCCCACTCGTCCTCTCCAGCAAAGGCATTTGAAGAGGACTTCCGAGCGACAGCTCTTAACTTTTGGAACGTCTCCAAAGTCATCGAAGGGTTGTTAAAAGCCTCTCCTCGTCTCCAGGCTTAGAGAAAAGGGGAAAAAAAATGAGTTCAGCAACATTAAAACACGACAAAGACTTTTATGCACTCCAGGCTAAGGAATAACGTTTTAATCTTTAGTGCAACATGTATATGGTAATTTGTGACATTTAGATTTTTTTTTAAAAAAAGTTATCTTCTATATATGGTCATCCAAATCCACTTAATTTTTTTTTATTTCTTTCCTCTTCCAGGCTCTTTACAATTCAATCAAAAATGAAAAGCTTGAGTGGGCAGTGTAAGTATCTTATATTGAACTAATAAGCTTCAAATGATTCCTTTTATGGTATTCCACTTGATATACCTGCAGTATATGGCATAGATGCTAGAAATTGCAGAAATCTCCTACGCTTATTTACAGGTAGTTCTCGACTTATGACCACATTTGAACCCCAGATTTCCTTTGCTAAGCCAGACAGTTGTTAAGTGAGTTTTGCCCCATTTTATGACTTTCCTTGCCACAGTTGTTAAGGGAGTCACTATAGCTGTTAAGTTAGTAACACAGTTAAGTGATTCTGGCTTCCCCACTAATTTTGCTTGTCAGAAGGTCACAAAAGGTGATCATATGACCCCCTCCCCCGGGACACTGCAACCATCATAAATATGAGTCAGTTGCCAAGTGACTGAATTTTGATCACATGACCTTGGAGAGGCTACAGGGGTCATAAGTTTGAAAAATGGTCATAAGTCACTTTTTCCAATGCTGTTGTGACTTGGAACGGTCACTAAATCAATGGTTTGTAAGTCGAGGACTATCTGTATTGATCTTTATCCCGTCTTTATTGTTTTTATATGTCAAACGTCTTTCATTTTTCATTGGACAGTCTTAATTCATTCATGATAACTAAAACAGTACGGCCCCTGAAAAGGGCTGATTTAATCTATTAAATATGTAGTTTTGGGCAAGCCATTCTTATAATGATCATAATTCCATTTGCAATGTGAAGATAATAACTTGAAGAGTATATCTGAAAGTTGGTTAGATTCTATAAAATAATGTTTACCAAGTTTCTAATCTTCCTTTTATGGAGTTCTCTGAGTTTTGTTTTCTGCTAATAGATGTTTCATTACCCAACTAAGTTACACCCGTACAAAATAACTGAATAGTGATGGATAATAGAACATCTGCAAGATTTCTTTTCTTTTGGAATCTTTTTATTTATTAAAAAAATGTGCCACCTGCTACTCATATTCTCAGTATGGTGTACCTCCATGCACAGATAGCATTTGAAAGTGAAGTTGCCTGAGGAGGGGCTCTGGCACAAGTCCAAAAGCTCAGAAGACTGAACCTCTGGTCCCAGTGACTGGCCCAGATTGGATCCTGCAATAATTTTGAGTTGAAGACCACTTGTACTCTCTTGGAGAACAGAAATTGGTGATACCTGTTAGTTACACTCAAGAAGTTTAATGCTACTTCTTTTCTTTGAGAGGATATACTTGGCCATAGATTCTCACAGAATGAGATAGGGTTACTGCATGAGCTCTTGTTGTTCCAGAAGGCAAAACATGCGGGAACATCCAAAATGGTGGCTTTTCCAAGTCTAAATCAGTCTTCCTCCTGGCATTATTTCTGTTACATGCTTAACAAATCTAGGCCCCATATTCTGTAGAACCAGGTTACTTAAGAGGTGCTTGCCTCCCATAACATCTACTCAGCTAATTCAATTCTGCACTTAGCATGCCCTGAGTTCCGTTGATTAAACATTGTTATCTATCAGGACCCTGGAAGCACACCTTCTCTGTTGCAGCATCTGATCTTTGGTTTGAGGTCCCCAAGAACCTCACTTTAGGCCTCCTCTCTGCTATTGTTTAGAACAGGGGTCTCCATCCCTCGGTCCATGGACCAGTACTGGGTCGCAGCATGCCAGCAACCGGTCCACACAAACAAGCAAAGCCCCATCCGCGAGATGCAGGCAGCACACACAACCACGCCTCCTCCGGTCCATGGAAAAACCTCTCTCTACAGAACTGGTCCCTGGTGCCCAAAAGATTGGGGACCTCTGGTTTAGAAGGATAATAAAGAGTTTTAGTAAGGGAGTGTGAGACTGTTTTTTTGTGCTTGCCAACTTTTATCTTTATCTTTTACATTTCAGTGATTTTACTGTAATTTCTTTGATTGTTGTGAACTGCCCATAGTCATTGAGTTGGGTAGCATACAAGTTTTATAGGTTATGGTCGGTTGCACAGTCAGCCAGATTTGGGATTTTTATTCACCTACTGAGTCCTTCCCAAGGACCTGGGCTAGGCAGATGTTGTTGTTTGATGGCATTAAATGTATCCTTACAGAATGTAAGCTGTTCCATTCAAGTTGCCTTTTGCAATTGATTAATGGTGATTTTGGTAGTGCTCCAGATGTTTTGGGATTGCACCTATTATTCCCCATTGGGATGGAACCTATTACTATTAGTAGTATCTTTGTTTTTGTTTTTACCAAATCCGTTCTACTTCTGTTTGCAGGTCTTTGTATTTTGTAATTTTCTCCAGATCCACTACTTGGACTTTGTCTTTCTTATCAACAATTAAGTCTGGGATGCTATGTCACAGGTGCTTCTCTGTTTGAATTCTAAAGTCCCAGAGCACTTTAGCTTCCTCAGTTTCTGTTACATTGTCTGTTTTGTGGGCCAAACAGTTTTTGCATCCAGGCAATTGGTATTTCTTGCAGATATTTCAATGTACCATTGTTGTTACTTAGTCACGCCGTTGCTTGTAATCAGTCTGAACCACCTTCTTGCAGTAGCTAAAACGAGATGATCCTCTATTTCTTTTGCTTCTTTGCAGAGGCAGCATTTGTTCTCTGTTGCTGCCTTTTCAATTCTAACTTTACATGCATTTGTGCTTAAGGCTTGGCCTTGTAAAGTCAGAATTAGCCCCTCTGTCTCTTTCTTTAATTTTCCTGCTCTTAGCCATTGCCGGTTTAAGTGTTTTGCCTGCTATTTTTTTTAATGTACTGGCCATGTAATACTTTTCCTTGCTATATCTCTTTTCTATTCTTTCTTTGTCTTTTTTTCCATTTTTTTAAATTAATTTTCTATTATTACATTTGATTAGTGCTTAATAAACATCGTGTTGTCTAGGTTAATTTGTTTGCTTAATAATACAAGTTACATTCTTAGTCTCTAGCCCTTTTTTTCCAACCATTGATAAAATAAATTCCATGTTTGAAAATATTCTGTATCTTCTTTCTCTTTGATCCTCAATGTAAGTCTGTCCGTTTCAGCACAGTCCAATATCTTCTTGGCTATCTCTTCGTCTAGTGATGTTTCTTCATTCTTCCAGTGCTGAGCAAATACAATCCTCGCTGCTGTTAATACATGTAACGTTAAATACGCCAGTTTGGTCTCTCCAGTACTCAGTAGACCTTCATGGTATGCTAGCTTCGGTGCATTTTCTTCATTGTCCTTCATACATTCTTTCAATGTCCTTTTTTCTTCTTCAACTGCCTGTTGTACCCTCAGCTGTTTTCCTTGGTAAGGAGCATCTGTCAGCATCACTGCATTATTTTACTGGTCCCTCTAACCAGGGTTTTTAGTTCTGCTTGAGTCCAGTCCACTGACTGGAATTGCCCAGCTGTTATTTGGCTTGGTGCTATTTCCTACACTGAATTTGGACTTTCAAATTTTTTCATGATGTATTCTCTTCTAACTTTCTTGACTTCAGTGTGTTTGATGTTGTCAGCTTAAAGGATGCCCAGGTATTTATAGTAATCATCCTCATCCAGACTCTTGATATTGTTTCCATAGGGCATCTTCAGTTTTCATTATTTTTCCCCGTTTGATGCTGAGTGTGGCACATTTGTCCAGTCCAAACTGCACTACAATAGCTTGGCTGCAGTGTTGAGCAGCAGTGCTATTTCAGATGTTGTATTTTCATACAGCATCAGATCATTGATGTAAAGGAGGTGTGATAGACTGGCAGATGTTTTTGATTTTTGATAGACACGGCCTGAATTATTCAGTACTGTTTACAGAAGAATCAGTGCAATAACAAATAGTAATGGTGATACTGAGTCTCCTTGAAAGGTTCCTCTCTTGATATGATTAATCTGTTCCACTCTATCACCATTGACCAGCAACAGTGTCTTCCATTGTGCCGTTCACCTTTGCGCAAAACTAATGTTTCTACTGACTCCTGTTATTTCTAGGCACTTGATTATTCAATCATCTGGCAGGGAATTGAATGCCTCCTTGTAATCCATGCTACATTCAAGTTGGTCTTCCTTCTGTTGCAGTTTTCCAAAATCAACTTGTCAATTAGAAACTGATCTTTTGTTCATCTGTTGTTTTGGCAGTTCCCTTATTGTTGTTATTATTTTACTGAAATACAGTTTAATACAATGCAAGATGTTTGATAAGTAGGAGAATTTGGTGATGTGCCCATTTGGTCATCATACTCAGTCCATGCAACAGGGGACAGAATTTCCTGAATGTATAACAGAAGGATAGGTTGTCAAACCAAATTATCTCTTGCAAGCCAGGTGCCTACTTGTTATTCTAGTAAGCAAAACGAGTTGTTAATGATGAAAGGCTGCTTGTAAGGTTGGAAGGCTTTTTTAGTTGGGTTGGAAACATTACCTTAAAGATAGAAATTCAATCCTCAGTTAATCTGTGGCGGCATGAATAAACCCATGCTTAGCTTTCTCCCTTTTATCTTTGAAAGCATTGTGTCAGAACTGCTGGTAGAAGAAACACAGCTCAGGTCAAGTTTCCTCCTGTTGGCTTCATGTCTGAAGCTTGTCTTATGATTAACGGTGGATAGCTTGATAACAAACTGACATTGAAGATAATTCATTGCAGAAGCCTTGTGTGTGCACTACTTCAGCTGCATTCAGGAAGCCCACAATTTTATTTTATTTAATGGATTTATATAGTCTCCCATGCTCCCATGAGACTCTGGGCAACATACAATATATTCACAATTAAAACCATAAAAGGAACAACATAAATAAAGGATGAAAACCCAAGAATGTGGGTGATCATTCTTGATCATTTAGCAGGCTCACCAGGGAATTCCCTATTGATATTCATAGTTAAATACAAGATGAGATTTTGCCAGCACACTTTAACCACTCATCATCCTTTCCTCTGTTCATCCTTGTTACTTGATTTCCTTTCATGCTGAGGGGAATCATGGCTGCTGGGTAGAAGTCTTTTTCGAAGAGAAAAGAAACAGAAAAATGCCTATATTAATATTAATAATATTGCTTTTATGGGATTACCGTTTGCTATAATAACGTATGCA